TTGCGGGCAGCTTCCAACTCCAAAGCTTTGCTGGCTTCCATCTCTGAAGCCTTGCGGGCAGCTTCCAAGTCCAAAGCTCTTTGGGCTTCCATCTTGGCCTCACACATTTCAGCTTCGTTCTTGGAAGCTTTGTGAGCAGCGTCCACCATCACAGCTGCTGTCTCCACGTCAGCCTCTGAAAGCTTTTTGTCAGCTTTCCTTGCATCAGCCTTCATGGCTGACACAATGCTGTTTGCGACCTCCAAGACCTCTGAGCCTTTCTTGGCAGCAGCCTCGATCTCAGCAATCCTTGCCGCAGCAGCTTTCTCACACGCCTCTAGCTCCCTTTTCCATGACTTCTCCCTCTCTTGCGCAAGCTTCAGCTCATACAAAGCTTCTAGTTGTTCCAGCTCCTTTTGCAATTGATTTCCTTCCACGGGGCGGAAAGAAATCGGAGGATTGCCGATCAGATTTCAACAGGCACTGGACTCTAGGCTTGATTGCTAGCTAATGTGGGCAAGGTGCGCATTGCCACCTTCTCTGGTGTCAGCTCGGTGCCGGGGCCTGTGAACAAACAGTGTATAACTGAAAAGCTTCCCTTGAAGAAGAGACCATGAATGCCTGCTTCAGGAGCAGGAGGAGCAGCAGCAGGAGTGTGGATTGTTGAGCCTACCGTACTTGACTGATCAACATGATCTATCGAACACAAATTGCATGAAAACAACTTGGGACCATCAACAGTGTGTTTAAAGGAATTCAGTCAGTCACACTTGCAAAACTATTCAGACCCACCTCCGGAGCCTTTTGAAGACGCAGCTCGGCCACTCTCCTTGGCTAGCTGCTTATAAGAATGATCATTCTGTGATAATTCGTGTAACCTTTTATCAACTCCAGGATCTGAGCTACAAACCCCCTCAGACTCTGAGTCCGACAAGTCAGATCCCGAGGAGGATGAGGAGCTGCTCTGGGGATCTGCAAAAAGGAGCTGAAAAGAACTCGTACTAAATGACACTGCTCGCCTTGACTGTTGGTTGGGACTTTGAGCCCTGCATACTTGTAGATGGCACGGATCTGTTCACATCGTGGCACATGTGGGCGCCTGGCCCGGCAAAGAATAAATGATTCCACACTGCAATGCTGTTTGCGAGTTTCCACAACAAATGCTGCTTCTTGCAAATGAGTAGCTTTGCAACTCGAGAAAATGCTGATACTAACTTTCTCAAAAGCTTTGCGTGGAGCTTTACGCGGTTTCCTGGCTGCAGCAAAAACCGAAGTGATCGAAAAAACACGTGGCTTAATTGTGTTAATTGATCGTGGCCATCAAGCCGAGTGTCCATTGACCTCCTCCCCACGTGGGCAACACATGCGGAAGAACATTTCAACAGCGTGTTCCAAGGAAGACAATGATGGTCTCATTCCAAGGTGTTTCAGAGTCAGACCCAGGGCGTGCTTGTTCTGCTTGATCACACCTGAAAGGCTTGCAATTGGCTCGACTAGTCATGGTATGGCACTAACGTGGATACTATGCTACAGTAATTCTATAATGTCAACTGTTTACAGGCGAAGGTCCACGGGTGATCTTGGTGGTCTTCTTCTCCTTCTGGATTCCCATTGTGCACAAACACTGGTTCAGACCAGCAAGCTTCAGGTCAGGCCGGCTATTCCAGCTGGCCGCTAGGTGAGAAGCCTGCTCAAAGGTGGCCATTGTCCAAGGATTGGCGTAAACACGGCTTGGGCAGGAACTGCATCATCAAAGGATGCAACAGCATGACATTGGATCTTCAGAACCATGCCATCATGCCGGGGCAAAACTCACAGAAAACATCTAACACAGGGGCACTTGGCATCAAAGATCCTCTGCAAATTAAGCATGCGCATGTAAAAAACACAAAAGTGTAAAGAGGTGGCCTTTCTGAAAAAGATCTTGAGAAACCCAGCTCTGGTCACAGGCATCCACTTCAGTCCTGCTAGGGGTTGGTTCATGGGTGCAATACAAAATCAGCAAAAAAAAACCCTTCTCTGAAAGCACACATTGCTGAGTCCTTGGAACATAATCTCCGAGGACAGGAGAAAACGACCCACGTGCCTTGAACCCCTCCAAGGCTGCAAAAGCGGCTTGCGCGAGCCATTCTGCACACTCGATGATAAAAACTGTCAAAACATCACCAAACCCTCTGAAAAATGACTGAACTGTTGATTCCACAAAAAGTGCTCGAATTGGGCCCTCACACCAAAAAGTGCACGTTTCCCACAAATGTGATCGATTTCCAAGTTTGTGCACGAACAAAGATATCAGGTAGCAGACCACCAAGTGGACACATTAATGTGTACCAAAGGGGTGTCCAGGTATATGTCCTCTTCGTTTGGACCAACAAATACGCGTCGAATGGAACTCCCGTCTTCTCCTCTCCAGTGGGTCGACAGATGCTCCTCTCGAAAACAGGGGGGGCCATCAGTCAGGTGGATGCCTTACACAAGGGCTTCCATTTCCGGTGTTTGGAGTTGGACATGGCCTTCATGCAAGGCCGGGGAGGGGGTAGAGACGTGGGTGGAGAAGAAGACGGCGTTTGATGAGCCGTTTTTTCGGAAATTTTCGAAAAACACGGAGCCGTTCTTCATTGCTTCAGGTTTCTTCATGACGTGTCCTTTTGCTGGAAGAGATCAAATGAAAACCAAGATACTGATAGGTGTGAAGCCGCTGATAGGGCTGTGTCCAAACGACGGAAACTGTTGACCTCCCTAGGAGCTGTTCGCCTCCCTGGTGGATCATGAGAGAACAGAATAGGTAACAGATGGTAACAGATTGTCCCTTTTTAAGTCTACCAAAACCTCGGAATACCCTTAAGGTATAAGGTCATGTTTCAAATGAATTGAAGAACCTGACGGCATGATGATTCGTTGCAGTGCTGTGCTTTCAATGGTCGACAACCATCGACAACCTACGAAGGTTCCGTTCCTTTCTCCTTTCCCTCCAGCAAAACCCCTGCACCGCTCAAACCGCGCATCACCGCTCGACCGCGACGTGTGCTCACACCGCGCCACGCCGCCACAGTGTGCTCTGAAAAGCTGAAGATGCTGCGGAGCTGCTTCCCAACGACGCTGCAGGAGCTCAAGCTGGACCTGAGGTGCGGTCCACATTGGGCGCGTGGAAAGGTCACCGGTGAGCGCGGGAGGAGGAAGCGAAAAGCTGAAGCCATGCGTGGTTCAGCTTTCACCGAACAGATTCCGGTTAAATGACCTTCTAGACTTAAGCTGCAGTGATTTGTACTTGTTGTACCTTCCAAACCTGGAGCAACCTTTGTATGCAAAAAAGATGCCATGGGTCAACATGTCATGGGTCAACAAACATATTTCTTGGAGATCTTGGAGTTGTCATGCCAAAGTATGTTGTTGTTTGGCTTCTTTGGTGTTCTTGCCCTGCGCCCAGCGCAGGAGAGAATGAGGGTGCAGCATCGATTATGAGTTTATGCGATGGAGGGGTCAGTATTGGATGCGCTGCAACTCGCAAATTTGACAAACAAGTCGACTTGGCGTTCATGTGCTGCGGAAACGTGCAGCATTATTGAACAATAGTGAACACCTCATGAACTCTTCAGCTTGATCCAGGCTGTTTGTTGAAGCCCAATCCTAACATTTTGCAGTCGTGTTTGTGGTCCCAATCTATTTCTCCGGGGACATATAGTCATGTTTCCCAAATATGTTCTTCGTCAGGCATGGCACTTTGTTCCAATGAAAGTCTCGCGCTTTGGTTTCGGGTGCTCGTGTGGAATCTCCCGGACCCCCCCCAGAACCGCCCCACCGTGCTCCCGGGCCACCCGGTCCTCGGCACTGGCCAGGGAGGTGGAGATTCGAAACGAGGAGATCATCGCCCTGGCCGCGGGGCTTCCCCGCGACCTGGAGGTCCCGTTGGAGGGGGGGGGGTGATGGATGATGGGGAGGTCAGGGCGGCATGGACCAAAAGCAGGGACGAAAGACTGCATGGCATGGTTTTTGTTGGTGTTTGTTTGTAGGTTTGTGGAGATATTGATTTGTTTGGTGATGTGGAGACGTTCTTTGGGGTTTGGGGGAAACGAAGGCGCCTCATTTAAGAGGCTTCTAACTGGACAGGACAGCGCCAACACAGGACGGACGTCTCGCTCAAACAGTATTGCCCAGACGAAAGACCCGGGCGGGCCCGAATCCTCGGGTCAGGAGTTTGGTGTCGAACCAATTCCCTACTGCATAGGTTTTGAGGGACCGGGAAAGGGCGTCGTGAACGCGTGAGTGTCTGGGTGGACATGAATGCACCTTTTATTTTGGGACTGTGACAGTCGGGATCCACCAGAACATCAACTTACTTTTGAATACTTGTTTAAAGATGTCGGCCTGCAAGCAAATCATCATCCACTGTTACCAGCTGATAATATGATACACCCAACATTAAGACATTGAAAGCACGTGTTTCATATTAATCTTCAATTTCATAGTGCTTCTCTCCATTTCAGGGTCTATTTTACCAGTGGTTGTCGCTTTCTGCCCATGTCTGTCTTCTGCAAGCCGCCCTGTCTACACCACCGGGCTTCACTCAGCGATGGTGATGTTTCACGCCGCACCGCAGGATCTCACCTTGAACCTTGCAGGCAACGAAGAGATCAACGACGACGGCATCGAGGTCCGCAGTTGCACTCCCTAAAACTCACATGGACCCGGGTCAAATGGCGTGGGTTGCACCAGTTGGTGCTCCAGGTCACCGGGTCCATTCGAGCTTTGGGGACACCCCACGCAGTGACTCAGGGGACACCGCGTGGCAAGTTCCGCGACTCTAGTGAGGGGCTTTGCTTTCTTTTCTCCAATCGTGTTCGGTGGAATATGGTGGAATTGTAGCTCATGCTCCAAGTAGTATGATCCTCAAGTCTAGAGCAGCATCGTCAGCCATGCACTCACCGGGTCTAGCATGGTCAGGGGGGTGACGTCTCCTGTTGTTGACCAGTAGCTATGTTTGACCCGGCATGGTAATGTCATCTCCCATTCTCCGTCTTTGAAGAACGGCGCTGTGAAGTGTACAATGTACGACCTTCCGAAAAAGGGTCTTGGAATGCCTTGTACATAGGAGAGGGCGATGACCGATGAAGAAAGGGGACATTCAGGCTATGTTTGAAGTGTCGGTATCCTTTATGTTGAGCAGACATCGAAGTTCCCGGTGGTTTTTGTTTACCGCCGCTTTTGATCGATAGAAGCTTCCTCGCACTCTGCTCTAGAAGGTCTAGAGTCTAGGCACCCAGTGGTGACTCATCGCGCGTTTGGTGCGGAGCATGGCTAGGTGTAGGGTTTGCCCCATCCTGCCACGGTCGGTATAAACACGTTATCCCTACCTTTGAGACGTCGGCCTGCAAGTGCTGGTGCCATCATCCACGTCACTGACTTACGCTGGTCGTGGGATAGACCCTCCCCGTGCAGTCGAGCTGCGCTGCCAGGTCTTCATGAGCAAGCTGCCCAACAAGATGAGAAGTGCTCTCTGGGATCGATGGTCATGCGATCGATGGGGTCAGAGCCTGCAGTAGTACTCCCTGCCGTGGATCGGATCCACTGCCAAAGAGCGTGAGCAGGGAGACCATTTTATGTAGCCTTGGAGGCTCCAGCTTCTCAGAAGGTCTGTGCTGTTTCTCATGGTTTTTACATGTTGTTCAACAAGAGAACTTCATGCCGAGATGGAAGAGTGAACTGGATGTAATCGAGCAGTATGCACTAGAACATGCTTTCCTATCAGCGCTAGGAATTTGGGGTGTTCATGTTTGAGCTGAGGATCGTCCCTTCTTCCCTCGAACTACTGAATGAACAAGCACTACTGGTGTGTGTGTGTGAGTGCTAAACATATAGGTCGGTTTGTGGGGAACCCATCCCAAGCAAGAAGATCCTAGGTCGCATTGGGTCGCTTGGCTCCCCCAAGTGGGTCGCTTTCTTCTTTTTGTTCGTGTTCAAGGTGCTGACACGAACCGGCGTCGATTGGGGTGTGACAGGTTCTCTTTCTCTAGGGATCCAGTCGTACCTTTTCAGAAGGTGATTGGAGACACTGTTATGTAGGTTTGGAGGGTCCAGTCGTACCTTCTGAGGTTCGGCACGACTGGATCCCTAGGGTTTGGGTCACCAACCCGTTTGGATGTGAACTGATGTTGTGTTGGTTCGAATCCCGGACAAGCATGCATTGTTTTACAAAGGACCTTTCACTACAAAACCAGGTACACCATGTTTTAATGCCCTTGGAAGGCTAGCGGCTAGGGGAATGATACTGATCGATGAAACGTGAGCGCTTGGGTGTCAGATGACGGGTTGTAGAACCATGAAAGGAGCAAGTAAGGCTTGTCAGGATGAGTAGACCACTGAAAAAGAACCAAGCCAACACGAACTGAACCTCAGGTTACCCTTATTGCATGCCTTTTCTCTTGTTACGGGATCCCCAACCAACAGGTGTTTGTCGGAACAGGTCGGAGGTCTTCCCTGGCCGGTCAGGAGACCGGTGGGTTCAGCACACCCCACGTGCGGAGGAAGGGTGGAGAACCCTGAAAGAATCGGATGGACTCTTTTGGTCTGAAGGATGAACTCTTTTTCCGCCCCAAAGCGGGGCCCCCTTGGGGCCCAAACAATATGGTGTGTTCCATGGCGTCATACGGCCACTCGGGACCCCGCTTTGTTCCGGTCGTGGATCAGGTGAGACGTCACCTAAAGCGCTGCACCGCCAGGTATGGCGCTGGATCTGAAAAAGACCTCTGTCGGTCCGGGGGCTCGGTGCTCGGCTCCGTCGACGGACCCGAGCTTCGGTCATGCTCAGTGACCTGAGACTTGGAGGTGTTTCGGGACAGGTGTGGGAATATGGTTCGTGTAAGGATAAAACAACTATATAGTGCTTGAGGAGTAACACATATGTTGTTGATTGTTGTTGTGTTTTCTTGGTTATTATAAGGATATATAACTGATTGAATGAAGTGAGTTATACCAGAACACCATACTCAAAGTGGGCTGTTCCGGCGCATGTCGGAGTGTGTTTCATCAACTCGAGCTGCGCTATGTCCACTTCGTTCACCCCCTCCTCGTGTGTCGTAAATACCTGAATACCTCCGGAAACCATCGGAAACCATTTCTGTTCCCGTGGTATATAAGTTCCAAGCTCTGCAGATAGTCAGGTGCATGTCCTTTCTCCCCCTTCTGCCGCCCCGCTTTCTCCCAGTGTCACTAGCGACCTAGCTTCACATTGACTCCAGGCAAAGAACTGCTACAACGACAAGGCAACTACGAAGCTTGGGTTGAAGAGGGATGTCCGATGGTCCAACAAAGTTTTTTATCGCAGCAGGTTGGGCGGGCTAGCCCTGTATCCCCTGTTTCTGCGCACGTGTAGATGAGGCATACGCACAATCAACGTAGAGATGAGGGTGTCGAAGTGGACGGCGTCTGTTGAGCGGATTTTCCATGTCTGTGGACTGGGTTGCTTACACTCCCTGAAAAGCATGGAAGTGGAACGTAGGCCCGAAGACCAATTTCCTCTATAAGGGGTCCTAGTCAACTTCCAAGGGCAGGGTAGCTGATTTTGGTTTCTGTCTTATCAAAGTCACCCCGTGAGTTGTTGGCTGATATTGGACTCAAACGTAGGCTCCAGTCGTTTGCGAAACGAAAGGTAAGACTGGACCCAGTTCCGACCCTCATCCGACCCAGTTCCGTTCGCGAAGAGAAGGGACGACTGTGGTACAACGGGTTCGCACGAAGAACGGGCGCGGAGGAGAGTCTTCCCCCGCGGGTTCAGTTGCTGAGTTGCAAAGCACCTACCCAGACGCTCATGGGCCCTCATATGGCATATGGAGGGGTTTGGGGTCGAACCAATTCCTAGGGTTTTGAGGTACCAAGAGCTGTGAACGGAGCGTTTGGGTGGACATGAATACACATTTATTTTGGGACTGTGGATGGTCTTGGAGGTGAAAGTACTTCCGCAAAGAATGGTCTTGGGGACCCTTAGGGGATCTATTATGTATAGCACCTATATGTGGTGGACTGGAGAGAAAGCAAAAAGATCCGCCATCGAATGCATGGGGCCATATGGGGCCCATTTAGTCTGAGTGGTTTTGAGCCAGACATTTCTTTGTTCGGTTGGTTGTTTGTTCCTTTTCTGGAAACACCAGAAGTAACCTGAAGTCCTGGAATCTTAACTTATAGTGGTGAATAGTTTGGATCATTCTTCGTTGTGGATCGTTCATTGGTGTCTTTTAGAACGATGGTGGGCAATGTTTCATGTCCAGTTTTCGCGGAAGACGAAAAAACCGCGTCCCCAAGGAAAGCATGCGGCAATACTTAGCCGAGCAGGCGACGTGTCGACGTGTGACCGACGTGTGCGCCGCGCGCCAACGTTGGCGCGTCAACGACCTGCCGGCGTCGGTGGTGGGTTTGAAAAGGGTGTCGTTTTGGTTTTGTTATATCCCTCAAAATGGTTTGACTCGAGTTGGGCTTGACTTCTGTCCCAAAAGAAAGGGGTTCTTTGGTAATAGAATGTCCAAGCCATTTAATCATGCGCAATGATACATCAAGGGTGAGCCGAGCCAGGAATCCTTCGGGTCTAGTATATAGGGAAAGACCACCATTAGGAGCTTGTGGCAAAAGGAAACATCCGTTTGGCCAGTGGGGGTCTCCCTATTCCCATACACATGCGGTCAAGTAGTGACCACTAGGGGGTTGTCGACATACCTTTCCTTGATGAATTTGGAAGTTCTCTCCTCAGGTTTTGCCTGGCCGAAGGTTTGAAACGAGGATTCGTTCATATTCGTTCATTCTTACAATCTCGCACCCTGCCCCGCATCCACACAAGATGACGCAGAAACAAGTCTCCGTATGATCCTCGACAAAGGAGAATGTGTTGCCTCTGAAGCCAAGAATTATTTACT